AATTGCAAGAAATAATAAAAATATTTTAAAATATTTTTTAAAAATAATAAGGATGATATATCTCAAAAAATGTTAAGATGAGATCCTCTTATCTCTTATTTTTTCTCTTATTATCTTAAATATTTTTTAATTATTCTTGAATTTTCTTTCCCATAATCTCATCTATTATCATATCATAACTTTCCTCAACTTAAGAATTAATAAAAATGCCTTCAATCCTGAAAATTTATCCACTCTTCAGTTAAATAGTCTTTGAAATTACCACAATCATATATGAATTAATTTAAAATTTGAGATTTTGAATTAATTTAAAATTTATAAATATGAACATTAATGACTTTCTTAAAATATATTTAAAATATATTTAACTGTTTACATAAATTCACAATTTGATTAAAAATTAAAAATTAATTTTTTATGCAAACAATTCCTCAATACCATTTGTCAACCACCATTCAAGTCAAGTTTCAAAGTCCATAATCCACAAGCCATAAACAACGCCTCAGCTAGAGTTGAAAAAATGAGTTGAGCTTGCGGGCTAGCTCATTCAACCTGCAAATTTTAATGGGTTGGATTAAAATAATTAGCCTATTTTTTAAAATAGGCTGGGCTAGCCCAACCAGCAAAATGACGGGTTAAAATAGGCTAGCCCATGGGTTAGCCTATTTTTTTTAAAAAATTATTTTTCAATTATAATGTATTTTCTTATAAGTCTACAATAATGAGTATATTCCTCAAATTTATAATTTATGAGTACCAATCATGTCCTTTACATTTGAAAGATAATGTAAATCTTTCTTACAATTTGCAAATGAAATTTTTATTATAGTTTGTAAATCAATTATTTATTAATTTTTATAAAAATATTTTGAATATATATTATTTTTTAATTTCATAGGATCTATTGATTGAAATTACAAATATAAATTTGTTGATAAAAATGATTTAGATTTATATTCAAATTTTATTTTAAAAAATAATATGAAAAAAATCATTATCTATATATAAGATATGTTGATTATAATTTTTAAATAATTTTAAAAAATAAAACTATATTTTGCAGGTTAGCTCGTTAATGTGCGGGTTGGGTTGGGTTTTTTTAGCCCGTTTATCTTGACGGGCTGACCCAACCCACCCCACTAATATGTTAACCCGCGCAATGCGTTTACACAGCTCTAACCTCGGCCTCATCTTTGTTGGTGTTCTATTCTTAGAATCATTCATCTCTCTCAAAAATAACTCAATCTTTGCTCTATTTTTTATGAACATTGTTTGATTTTTAAACTTTGATTGGTTGTAATGGGTTGTAACAAAATTTTTAAACTTTGTTCGGTTGGCACATACATGTATATATGTAATTTGTTTGAAAACTTCTTTTTATATAATTTTTATACCGTTCATTATTGTTAATCTTGCATTTATTCTATTACTTGGGGAGACTCAGAAAATTACTTGTGGAGAAAATTGTGAGTCTTTTTACCTAATATTATTAATTAGCTTGTCTCAATTAATGAATTTTTATGAGTTTTATCAGTTATTCAACTGACCTAAAAAAGTAAGAATGCTATTTAAAAAATATATATATATATTGAAATATAATTGAACAATCTAAGATTCATGAAAGTGACGTGAAGAGGCATAGTATGTATGTTGGTGGTGAGTCAAGTGCGATTTCACATACGGAGAGAACCGACATAGCAGGTTAGTTGCTTGGATGACGAACTCATACTCGCGTCATCTAAACGTCAGTAGTATGTTGGCGTGGAGCTGACTTGGGGAATGTAGAGTCAAAAAAGGAAATTAAATCGGCAAGCTTTGAGTTGTGCTCGATGTTTAGCCATCGCTGTAGTGCTGCTCGAGAGCCTCAGCCAATGACGGCACAGCTATTTCTCTGTAGCAGCGGGCCACGGCGTCTCTTTTCCCCGCCCTCGCCTCGTAGACTAGACTTGTCACTGCATCGGCCCTTCGATCCTTAGGAAAGCTCAGCGATTAACTAATGATGTTAGCGCAAGTGAAGAAAACTAAATATATAAACAACAAAACAGAGAAAAGAACCTCCAACGAAATCATCATGTTTTGATCGTTGTAGAACCACTGAAGGATTCTGAACTTGTCAGGGTCACTGGGAGGGAAATAGGGAGCATTCTTCTTTTCGAATCGTGCACGCGGCACAGGGTCGCTCAATCACTTGCTATCCTAGTCTTGTCTTGAGCAAAGACTGAAGGAATAACGCAGCATGGCATAGTATATTCACAATATGGGGAGACCGCCTGGGAAAAAGGAAAATCTAATTCTTATTAATTTGTCTCATTATAGAGAGAATAATTTGATGGAATAATAATCACAATTACATACGAAGGAATCGTTTTTTTATTTTGGAATCGATCAGGGTTTAATTCACCATTAATTCTTGATTTCTTGTCCTCTAATCGACCGACATAGTGACCCGATTATCGTTTAGGACGGATCGGTAAATTCTAATACCTTGAGACTGGCCTCCCGTCTTATTTATAAGCCGTGTTGTGTGGCTTGCTTGCTTTTGTTCTTTCGCATCCTGAGGCTCCGGCTTTCTTGATCTGTGTGGCTACGCAGGAACCTATCCAAGTATGAATTAATCTTGATGGATTTGAATGTGTTATATGATTAACTAGATTTTCCAGTCGGAGATAATTAATAAAAAACACAACATTTGGCCTAAAAGTACAATCTCATAATTAATTATCTCTTTCGAAGTCTAAAAAGATGGTATGAATAGTATGATATTGATATTGTTAAATGATACCCACAGAATCTAGAGTTTTTATATAATTTGTGGGATAATTTATCCTTTATTTTGGATTATTTGTGTTGAAAAATGAAAACCAAATACTTAAAATTTAAATTGTATTTAAGTATTCTTGTTGAAAAATGATCCTTCATTTGCAGATGGTGGTGATTCCTTTGAACGGTTTGGTACAAAGGCTCATCAACGCTTCCAAGGGTCTCCTATACGAATGATGATGGTGTTTTCAAGATCGTCCACATATGATAGAGGACGTTTGGGCCTATTTTGGGCTTTTGGTCCCAATTTACTCTGTTTTGGCTTCTTTTGCCCTTATTACCACAAATGAGCCACGAGTGAGAAAATAGAACACAATTTATCCAATTTTAATGCTATGAAACTTTTAATTCATTAAATAAATTGCGTCAAAATATAGTGAAAATGGTGGCTCATTGTTCGCGTTGATCTCACCCAGTGTGCATCTTCGTTCACAGTCGCCACTGCCCCTAAAGCTCCTTCTACTTCTGTAAATCCTGTCGACAACCACACGAGCTTCTCCACCATCGTCATCCTTCCTCCTCTCCATCTCTCCAAGGACCATCCTTCGCTCAGCCTACATATATCATGGTACCCTCTGCCATTTATTTCGCCGCATTCTCTCTTGCTATGCTTTTCGAGCACGTCGCCCTCAAGCTCCATCTTGTCGTCCGCCACTCCTTGTAACTCTAAGCAACACTGTTCTGTATCTGTTGCCTTGGTTGTTGCTCGTCCCTGGACCATCCACTTACATACCTCTGCCTTCAGCTAACCCCCACGAGTTCCGTTGCTACCAGCTCTGACCTCCAAGTTCTTGACTGTTTTGTGAAACGAAGTTGGCTACTTCGATCATATTCCACAACAATTCTCATTTCTAAGATGTTCTCCATCAATCTCTCTCAACACAACAGATTAACATATATACTCATCCTTTCTCTCCTTCTCCACTCTCACTCTCTCTCTCTCTTGCCATTGATCTCTCTCCTACACTCCTTGTTAGCGATGATCTCTCCATCATCATTAACACAAGGCGCCATCAACTTCAACAGTGCATTGTCATTGTCAAAATTAACAGGCACCGTCGACAGTGCACTGTAGTTTATTATGCATTGCAGGTTTCAGAAGTGTAGCCTCGTACGCACTGTAGGTTCAAGATTTTGAACTCTGACAGTGAAAGTGAGATAGCGGGAGGAGGACATAATGTGGAGTAGAACACACGGTTTGGTCATGAACACACAGCAGCAGAAGAATAAAGGTTAGATCACATAGCTTGGTCATGAACTCTCTACCGGAAAAATGCCTCTGCCTCATGAAGGTTCTGCACCATGGAATTCATTGCACCAACCATACAGGACGAGAATAGGAGAGAGAGCGAGAGAGTGGACAAGGAGAGTGCACGATATACAAATGATGCAATTTTCAGATTATTTTGGACGTGCATTCTCTCCAGTCGATCGACTTCTACGCCCACTCTTTCATCACAAGCACTATCGACTTCATCTTTGGCAATGGCGCAGTCGTGATCCCCAGAGGGTGGAGGAGAGATGGAAAGTGAAGGAGAGAGAGCTTCCCCAGAGGGTGGAGAAGGAGAGGAGGGGAGAGATGATCAGGTGATGAGGGTTGGGCTCTACTCCCTCTCTGATCTTATTAATAAGGTGGAGATAAAAAAAAAATTTAATTTTATTTATAAATCATATTATTAAATTTTCATAACAAATTTTCTTTTTTACCCTGCATTAAATATTAAAAAGAAAAAATTATTATTAAAATATGTATATTTAATAAGAATAAAACTAAAAATTTATTAATTTTTAAACATAATTAATAAGTTTTAATATTTTTTTTTGTATTGGTAAAACATGTTAAAAGTCACTTATAAATAAAATCAGAAGAATACCATTTAAAAGTAATGGGCATTTGTAAGGTTGAAGGGAGATTACTTTAAATTTGATTATCCAGAATTTAAAATGTATTAAAAATGAATTTAAAGTTAAATCATCTCTAAGCTTATTGTTCAGGTCTAAATTATCGTTTAACCGTATAGTGAATAGCATAACTTGATAACTGAGTTTGAAATCTCTGATTTTTATTATCATACGAATATATTTTTGGATTAAGTAAATAATTTTGAAATCTTGCAGACATTTACATATACATATTCTATTTATTATTATTATTATTATATACGTGCAGGCACAGATACTACCTCGCCAAAACAGCATCCGCCACCGTCATTTCAATTAAGAAGCCAAGTAGACTTCAATAAACTGTGCTCAGTTTTAAGGAGGCTCAGTCACAAATAAACAACAATCAAACAAACATCAAGTTAGAAACAAAACAAAACAGAAAACGTGGCGTGAATGTGATTATATTCAATCTAAAAAATCCAGTATTTCTTTTCTTATTCCTTCTCTTCTTTATCTACTGAAGCCCCCCAAAAGCTCTATGCATGTGTGCTAACTTCTCTGTCTGCTGTTCTTACCTTCACACATTGGTGCTGCACATCACAGAAAAACTTCATAATACTGAAGGAACTAGGCGATATTTGGATATTAGCACACACAAGCAAGTTTATGATCTATCTGCTTACCAAGTCCCTTAGCCTCAGATGTTCTCATGATTTTTAGCCTCCTCACACAGCTTAGAAACATCCTGATTTCACAATAGAAAGACAAGATGAATATGAAACCGACAAAACACGGTATCCAACTTCTTCGGCAGTGAGATCTTTAGATCAAGAACCACAAAAATGGTTTCTTCATACTTTCATCAAAATAATGACCATGAGCCAAACACATACCCCCAAGGTACGTCTCCAACTAGCATCCAGTCTCCATCCTTGTCTTCATAAGTCAGTGCAAACTTGGAAGATGCATCCAGCAATTTTGACCTTCTTTCTGATCCAACTACAGCGCCATGTTCTTCCCCAGTTGATCCTACTGATTAATAATGACTTATGTATATCGTTAACAAAAAGGAGAGTATATGACTCATTACTCAAAACTACAGAACTTAAAGAAAACAGCAAAGGAATGGGATATAACAGAATGACATCATTGAAAACCTCAGAACACTAATTAAATCATTTGACAGGTGGAACATATCTGGATAGCTCATATGTAAAAATACCAAAATTGTGAAACAGTCTTAGAAATGATGAATTACATATGAACAGGAATATTCTTAATAGAATGAGGTAGAAGTAAGCTCTTGTCAAATGCATTAAATAACCCAGATATGCTAGTAGTGTACCAGTTAGACAATAGTCAATAATCCCATTTATGTGTCACATACAAGGGCAAGGCATATACAAATACAGAATAGGAACGGTAGAGTTGTTACAATAATATTCATCATGCAAGTAGAATCATAATAATAGCATCATTACGAGAACGAGTTACAAAATCTCTGATATAAGATCATCCAAAAGTAAGGCAAAAAATACTCACTTTTACTATTGACAGCCGCAAAATGTTCATCGAACATCTCCTCCAAAGTAAGTGCCAAGCTTTCATAGGAATTATGAGCACTCAAATCAACCTTCCTTCCAATCAGTAACCCATCCATATTTACCTTCACAAACCGGGAACTCTTGAGGTTCCCTTCACCTTTGGCACTGACATCACTTTTATTGATGCCGTTATCAGTATTTTTCCTCGCCTCTGTTTCATTGTTCTTACTTTTCTCAACCACTGAGTTGAACACTTTAGTGCCCGCTGGTGACTTTGCATGATTGTTAAAGCTATTCATCCGATATGCTCCAAGGGGAGGCCATCCTACAACCTGACTGTTTAACGAATTCCGTTTTGCAACAGAAAGAAGAGATAACATCAATTACACAGCCAAATAATACAAGAACACCTAGAAAGCACACACAATATATTCATCATGAATCTAAAAAGGGGCATACGCAACAATAAATCCAGGCTTCTTTATGACAACTACAAACATCCAACTAAGAAACAAAGTGATTTTCACAAAACTAAGCAGTTGTTAAGTAACTCTAAGCCAATTTTTTGGGCTAACAGTGGTAACTCCAGAATCCAGAAGCTTGAAAATGATTCTGTAAGCTGGCCTACAGATGCTGCTACTCTGAAATTTATACACTTTTTGGGTCATTTCTGCTCCAGAGGTTGTCATCGTGTTTTACTTTTTTCAAACCACCAAGTTTACAATTATTTTTCTACATAACCCACTGAGTTTTGATGTAATCATAGTATGAGTTCTTACCATTTCTATATTTTTCAGTTGACCTGAGTTCTAAGGAAACTTGAGCACCCATTATATCAGAATTTTAGATGGCACAAATGTCCATGGATCCCACGTTAACTATTAACTACTATTAGAATATCTAGAATCCTATTCCATCTAGTTTCAGTTGTTCCTATATTTAGCAAAAGAGACTTGGAAGGACTAGACCAGGCGCATTCCATACCGCACAAACCAAACACAACATGGTCTTAATTTAATTAAAGAAAAATTAAGCCAATATTTCTTCTCAGAGTCAGAAAAGTGACTAGTCCAATGTTAACAATGTATGATATCTGCATGAAACCAATTCACGGATACAAACCATTATAGGCAGGGGCGAAGCCATAAATTTTAATTAGAGAGCCGAGATAATAAAACATATATGATAATTGAAGAAAAGTTAAATCTATATATATCACAAACATGGGATAAATATTTTAACGCATATATTCATATTCAATGTTAAAAATATATAACAAAAACAAATATTTACTTTCATTTTTAAAGGTTTTCTCTTTAATTTTTTATAACATAAAAATCATCAATTATCATGTCCATGATAAATTTTTGAATAATTTCCTTCTCAATATAAACCATCATTAAATTAGTGAAAATTTATTTTTTTATCATTGAATGATTTAAATGCATACTTAGAATCTAAAGCTGTACTCATCTAAAAAACTCTATTACTTACTCACTGAATTTACTTTTAAATTATTTTAATTGATAATCAATGACAATAATAAATATATCAATACAGTTATAATACTCAGCTATCACATAATCTCTTTGTCTATGAAATTGAATTATATAAGAGCAAAAATCATTTATATCATAAATTTTAATAACTTAGTTATCACAAAAAAAAAAAAAAACCTATAGAACATATATAGCATCATCTTGTTGGAAATAATAACTATACATATATAAAAAATTATATATATAATTGAAATAAAAACTCCATTTAGTGTTTGCATGCTTTTGTACTAGGTTAACTTAGGAGGCATAAAAAATTAAAAAGCGAGGAGGCATCATAGCCACCCCAAGTCCACTGACTCTGCCCTTGACTATCGGTAGTTGCCACTATTACTTTAAGTTGCATAAATGCTCAATAGTTAATACAGTTACCATGCTAAAATCCTGTTTCTTCATGATTTCTTGTTTATTAAAGCCTCTGGAGAATTGCGGCAATTCAGGCGCACAGAATTTTCATAGGCCAAAGCTGGTGGAAATTTCAATCTCAACACAATCTCAAAAATAATACTTTGATAAATTTTCTACAGGAGCACATGATCCAATGTCTATAAAACCATGTCCGATAATGATTCATTAAGATCCATTTGAGAAATCATAAAACCTAATGAACGAGTTACGAACAAGATGCTAGAAATACTAGAAGCAATATTAGTAGAAATCCAAATTAGACACATGCACTAATCGTAATCATTGATCAATTAATTGGGATCGGATCACATAAAGAACGAGGGAAAAGTAAATTAGAAAGTGTGGGGGAAAAAAACTGAATAGAAGAAGCAAGCTATTATAAGATTTTAACATCCCAATTAAAACGAGTAAGGAAAAATATGTCAACATAATTCACCTGAGGCCATTAGTAGCAACAACAGAATCAGAAGTTCTCTTGGTACCAGCAGTGACATTAGGCCTGGTCACTGAGGAAGGAGAGGAAGAGGAAGAAGATGGGGAGGATGTTGATGAGGCCAATGAAGCTGCAGCATGCGAAGAAGCCATAGAAAGAAAATCTTTAGCGGTTAATATTCTAGCATGTTGATTCGTGGAAGTTGGTCGGGACTTCACCCCAGGACGACGAGAAAGGCTTAGCCCAAGACCCAATTCAAGCTCAGACTCGTCTGGGCACGAAGAATCCTCAGATGAAATGAACAAATTATCTTCCTTTGACACCGTTGACATCGATCCATCAGTAGAACCACCCTGCATCGCTCGCAATATGGTTCCACTTCCAAGTTCCAACAGAAGGTAAAGAAGAAGCCGACTTATGCCAAGAGAAATATATAGAACAAAGAAAAGATATGAAAATTGGATGAATTTGAAGGCAAGACTTGTGAGAAAAAGAAATCAAAGGAAATATTATATGAAAAAAGAATTGCAGAGCAGAGAGAGGTATGGGGCTTTGTTTGGTGGATTATGGAAAATGCAGTAGCTAGAATGAAAGAAAAGGTTAGGTGTGGATAACGATGATGGGGATGAAGAGAGGGTAACCATTGTTGTGTGACCCACCTGTCAGGTTTGTATGCCCTTTGGATGCCGTTAAATGCAAGGAGACAACGAAGAATGGGGTGAGAGAGTGATGTCACACACAATTTCATTTCGTTTTTCAAAATTTTACATCTCTCTCCTTCCATGCGTACTCTGGGCGGAAAAAAAAAAAAAAGACCTTCTCCCTTAATGCATGCAAAGCAAAACCTTCTTTCACTTTCAATTTCTATCTAATTTAACTTCACCAACATTTCTTTCTTGTTTTTTTTTTCATTGAAGGGATCGGCACAAGTCCCTAAAGTGGCCATTGCCGTTGGGGTGGGGAGGGGGACCACTCACCGCAAACAGACGCTGCAAACGACAAGCCGACAAAGTGTGGGACCAGACACCACGAGGCTCGGGAAAATAGATAAGTTGTAATGACTATGTGGGCCCCTCTTGTCCCTCACAAAAACCTATAAATGATGTGGGCCCAACACCTGGCTTCCAATTCAATGTTGACAGCTCACTGTACCAGACTATGACTTCCGAACCATTGATAGGCAGCTCCGGCGTACGGCGATGGTCTTGTCTCCACACATGGCCACCTCGCTTCCCTGCCTCTCCCTTGGCTATTTGGTCGCCGGCGAATTTTCCTTGTCGAGCGCCCTGGGGACAATCATCTATGCTGCGCCCTTGTGGGGCCCATAACATAAATACTGCCATATAATCAGATACGCTCAGGCCATTCTATTATGCCCCATCCAATGATTCACTGACACATCGACAATCGACCTGACGAAGCCTTCCTCTTCAAGCCCGTCACAATTCACGAGATTTCGCGGGCAAAAAGGGCCTTCCCTCCCTCCGCCACTCTCTCTTTTTTTATTATATTAAATTTAAAAAATTCTGTATTCATTTACTAAATGAAGAATTTGGCTCCTATGCATAATCTGTACATTTGTGCATAGTAAAATTTATAAAATAAAATATATTGTTGTGTAAATTTTAGCTATATTTTAATTTAAAAGGGAGAAAATATTTTAAAATACTTCCCCCATTAAAAAATATAAAATATTTTTAATTAAATTTTACTCTCAATAAAATAGTTATCTACTTTTAAACTAACCCTATTTTTTTATATTTATTTCTATTAAATATTCTATAATAAATATAAAGTTACTATCAATAGGGCACTTTTTTAAAAAAATAATTACACTTTAAAAGATTAAAAATACCTTACATTTTTAAACGAAAGGAGTAAAATAAGTTATTATTTATATTTTTAATATGAATAGAATAAAAAATTATAAAATAAAATATGTGGTTGTTTAAATTTTAATTTGGTTAAAATATATTTTTGGTTCTTTAATTTTATATAAAATTTTAATTTAATCCTTTATTGTATAAAGTATATTTTAAGTTCTCTAACTCTTAAGTAGTGTTTGCAAGTTTGTTTATGATGGAATAAAATGAAGTGAAATGGCTAGAAGTTTGATATCATTGTTGGGAAAAATTAAAAAAAAAATTGAGTGGAATGGCTTGGAGTAACCTTCTAAGCTATTTTTAGCTATCCTAAACTCATTTTTTTTTCTTATCTTACAATTTGGGTGGTTGAGAATTATTGGTCTAGTATAAATAATATTATTATATAATTATTTTTTGTTTTTCTCACCCCCTTCTCACTGTTTCACTCACTCTTACCTTAAAACTAAAAAAATATAATTATATTCAATTCAAATATACTCCCTCTATTTAAAAATATAAAATATTTTTAATTGAATTTTACTTTTTAATAAAGTAGTTACTTATCTTTTAACTATCTCTATCTTTCTATATTAACCCTTATTAAATACCTTAAAAAAATAAAGTAATCTATTCAATAGGGGCACTTTTAAAAAAAATAATAATTATACATCAAAAGACTAAAATATATTATATTTTTTAATATCTAACTCCTTAAAAAATGCTTTACTTTTTTTAATTAAGGGAGTATTAATTCTACAATTATTCTTAACAATGATTAAATAAATTTATTTGTTCCTCTAATAGAACTCCCAAATAATTGACTATTCCATTCCGCTCCACTCCATCATAATCTACCCCATTCCATTTCAAAAAAAATCATCCATTCCTTTTCATTGTATCATACATTCTTAAACATGCCTCGATATTATTAGTTTTAAATGATTTTTATATCAATCATTATTATTTTAAAAAAATTAATCTTAATATGTCAATATTTGATAATATTTTGTTAATATTTAAAAGTTTAATTAAATATTTTGTTATGAAACTAATAATTTTGGGGTCAAAGGACTGAAAAAGCACTTTATAAAATCAAAGAATGAAAATAAAACCTTATGTAATGTTAAGGGGTTAAATATATACTTTAACCTTTGAATTTTTGTGAAGATCATATATTATGGAACAACAAGTTGTTGTTTGTATTTTTAATATGCATGTGGTAACAAAATTTGAAATAATTTATTTCAAAATAAAACAAGGTATTTATGTTTTTACTATACATAACAGTAACAAGATGTAAAAAAATAACTTCATATTAAAATAATAATGAAAGAACAAATTTAAGTTACATACCTTTTAAATGGGGGCGTTTATGATTTTAATTTATAAAAAATAAAAAAATTTAAATACCACAATTTATTATGTTTATTTTTTTATTGCTTACAAATATCTTTTTATTAAAAACAATCATGCGTAAAGCACAGTCAGACATTAAATAACTCTTTTAGTAGGGATTTGAATCTTCATTACATTATGACGGATTAGCTCCTTCAACTGAACTAACAGTAAATTTTAGGATAAAATAAATTTTTTATTTATATCATTAACATGTACAAGACTCACAATAATATGCATGAGATAATAAATTTTAAAGCAATTTATGTAGAAACAAAATATGTTACCTGCATTTTTTTTTTTTGAATTAGGCGTGCATTATTTGTTTGCAAAAGAGTAACAAATATTAAAAAAATTATTATTAAAATAACTCCTTAAAATAGAAAATTCAATTTATTACATATTCTAAAATGTCAGGTGTTTAAAATTTTTATTTTCATTAACTAAGTAATTTTATAACAAAATAATATATTGGTTTGACTTTTGTTATTTGTACCAGGTAATAAATTACAGAATAAAATAAATTATTTCTTGTATTAGAAGTATAAATGCAAAAGAGCGATAAGTTGTTAAAAAACATAACAAATAGTTATTGAAAAATTATTATAGAAGGGACGGGGTAATAATTAATGGAATAAAAACATGTTGTTTAATTATCAAATAAAGTAAGTTGCTACCTAGATTTTAATTTGCACATGTAAACAATTTTAAAATAAATAATTTTTTATTTATATTAACCCTACCTAATAGAATAAGGCCTGTTGTTGTTAACAATAACAACAATATAAAATACTCTCTTCAACTCAAATTATAAGATATTTTTAGATAAAATTTCACGTACCAATAAAAGTTTATTAAATACACTTTACAATCTTACTTTTTCAATAAAAAAATATAAAATTTTAAAAATATTATTTATTTAATGTTCTATTGATGAAAGAATATTGAAGAAAGAGAATATATGGAAAGAATAATATTAAAAAACTATCATCAATGAAACTTTATTTTTATCAAAGTGTCTTATATTTTGGAACCTTAAATTTTTTTTAAAAATATCTTATAATTTAAGACAGAAGGAGTATAAAATAAAACATGTTCATATTTGAAATATTTATGGAGTAATAAATTCTGAATCATGTGTGTTGCAACATCCCATATTTTATTAAATAAATTAAAGGTTAAAGATCATCATTATAAGTACAAAATATAGAAGTTTTTGTGAATGAGGATATAATTTGAGTTCTTACAAAATTTACATTTTGTTATGTGGAAGTGAAAAATCTTTACAGATAGACCCTGTAGTAGTTACAAATTAGACCCACCCAACAAAATACTTACATTTGAGTCCCTATGTGCATTTTATAAAGGAGGGCTTGTAATCACTTCATTTTGGGATGGTAATATTGAAATAAATATAATTAGTAAAATTTTATTGTTATTAAAGTATCTTATATATTAAGACATCAAATTATTTTCAAAAATATTTTAAAAACTAAGACAGAGGAAGTACCATTCAATTGGTATAAGAATAATCAAAATTTGTTAAAAAAAATCTCATTATCTTGAGAAGTTACTTTTTTGGAGTCAATCTAAGAAAATGTTATAAAATACAGAGATACACAGAAATACAATGAAATTTTAAAATAATTAAACAATGGATCATTTTTAATCCTAGGCAAACTAAAATATGGGCCTATTTTACTAAATGTAATTAAAGAATGAGTTAGTTCCTTAGAAGAACCTAGTTTGTAGAATTTAAACTTAACATTAATATTTTATTAATTAAAAATAGTAATATATATTAATATTATATTTAGATATTTGGGTTAAAGGGAAAATTTTTATCGAAACTTTTTCTCAAGGTGTGTTTAGTATCTTAAACTTTTTTTTTAGAAGTAATGTCACCCTTAAATTTATAAAAATAGTGCAATGTGAACCTGCTATTAACCTTTACACACATTGACTATTAAACTATTTGTGTTGACCAAACAAAATAACATGTGGCAACTTATATCAGTTGAATGGGACAAGAGGCAAGATCCACGTGTATTGTTTTACCTATAACTCCTCTTATAACTGCCAGGAGGGCTTCATAAGCTTGATCCCTTCAACACCAAAGACTTGAGAACTTGTAAATATTGATAATTGAAAATGCATATCATGAATTGAATACTCGAGAACTTGTAAACTAAGTGTATGCATATTATGAGTTGAGCATATGTGCACTGCATGATTATTGTGGTAGGAGTTTTCCTTATGGAGTGTAAGGTCTCCTGTACTAAATCATGGTTAACTCCCAGAGTAGAGATAAATCATAGGATTACACCATCAAATTATCAAGTTTGTAAAAATTCATATATAACCATTCATAACACAAAATTAGA